TCATCTACACTACTACGACTACTACTACTACTACTACTACTACTACTCCTGCTGCTGCTGCTGCTACTACTACTACTACTACTACTGCTACTGCTACTACTACTACTACTACTACTACTACTGCTACTTCTGCTACTACTACTACGACGACGACTACTACTACTACTACTACTACTACTACTACTCCTGCTACTACTACTACTACTACTACTACTACTACTTCTGCTACTACTACTTACTGCTGTGGTTGCGGCGGCAGGTAGCAACAAGCAACCAGAATGCAACTATCTTCAGCATTATTGCTTGTAGCGCAACGAGGGGAAAGGCGGGTGTGTGCACGAAGGGAGAGAAGGGGGAAGAGAATGCAAGGAGAAGCCAGGGAGTGGGAATGACGAGAGCGAGAAAGTGAAACGAGCCAATAAATAAAACCAAAAACGCAGAAGTGTGGCCACGCCCTCAAGTGGCGAGCAAACCTTTGTTTGAAAGCAGGGCGGAAAGCTGGAAGAAATCGGGCTCCAAATTTGCAGAATATGAACGAGACTAGCAACAGATCGCGACTGCCCGGTTTCAATCAAGCATCGAGCGCTCTTGAAACGAACGCGGGGATCTCACGCACCGGAACCCGTAACAGGAGCAAGCAAGCAGGGTCAATGCCAAACGAAAGCTGAACCACAAGGACACCACAAGAGGATAGGGTAATCGCAGAGTTATCGAGCACATGACCACAATACGGGCAACAACGACCATGCGAGGAAAAACTCGCGAGTACCGCAAGGAAGGCTTGAAGAAATGTTGTCTTTAAATGCAATCAAGTTAGCAAGAATCTGGTCACATCGTTGGTACTAGGCTTGGCTAGTGACCCAGTAGTTTGGACAACCCGAATAAGGCCCGCTTGTTTTCCTTGTGCAGATCTTGTAGTCTTGCAGGGGGAGATATTGAGTAGTGAGCACTTATCCAGAGCAACTAGAGCCTGCGACATGCGTACCATACGTCGATAATTGCTATCAGAAGCTCGAACGCCAGCGTGACTGTTGTTTTTGCTTACTTCAGATTTTGACGTGCGCTCATTGCGTGTGTTTCCGTCTAGCTCAGCAGATGCAGAAGTTGCCGCCGCCGGGTACGTCGGGTGATGAGAATGACTGACATCTCGAGTGTTCATGGCTTCCTGCGTGGAACGAGGCCGGCGGCGTCGTGTCTTGGTTTACAGTAGCAAGTAGAGAGCTGCATGTTACGAGATCCGGTTCCCTGAGACTGCTCCGGAGCTGCTGCATAAACCCCCCTTGCCCCCGTTGTGTGGCTCAGAGGTGTAGAGCCTCGGACAGAGCTCCGCCCGGCTGAAGGCCTTGGCGAAGAGCTATGCACAAAGATGACGTCGGAGAATTACTCGACAGATCCTGGGAAGGCTTTCGGGAACAGCTCTTGAGCATCTACCTCACAGGGGCAGCGCCACAGTTTGAGTATTCGGCTGGATATTCCTCTGCCACGTCCAACCCAGCTAGCCCGGCAAGTGTGGCATCCCCGTCCTTCCCGACGAGCTTGGCGGGACACCAGATCGTGAAATCCGTGAAATCAGGGAGGTCAGGCGAGTGTGACACCTCTGACCAAGTCCAGCGATACCATGGTGATTCGTTCGCGCTGCTGGGGTCCAGCCTAGCGAACATGGGTGCTGATGAGGTGACGAAAATCAAGAACAGGCTTCGTTTGCGTTTGGGTGCCAACTCCTTACACAAGCTGGTCTCTGGCAAGTCCCTTCTCGATGCCGTTGTCTCCCTCGGCTTGACGATGTACCATGAGGCATAATGGATAGTGTTGTGATTTTCGACTTGGTTCTTGTGTGTTGATCGGCTCTGATAGCTGCATTAAACACTGGCGCATGTTGGGTCACTCTGGAACATCTTTAGGGCCTAGAGTGTCAGCTCACGATTGATTTTTATTGGTCTTGTTCCAGGAGGACATGAACGACTTTGTCAATCATCTGGCAGATTTCGTTGGCTTGTACTTCGAGGCGGATGAGACTAGACAAAGGCGCCCCAGCCAGTCCTTGAACTCATTGTCCATGTTCAGGGCTGCTGAAGATGCTTGGACCCTTGGCAAACCGAAATGGAAGTGGCCGAGCCCTGATGGGCAAGCACATCTCGCCCGCAGTGTCACGAAGAGCGTCCCCTTCGGTACCGACGGCTCCGCAACTCGCACCTTCAACGTGGTCCCCGCCCAAGCCCTCATGGATGTTTTTCTCTCCACGGAGGCCGATGTTCCGAAGAGAATCTTCGGCCCAAGGCTAATGAACCAGTTCCAGGCCATGCGCGAGATCCTTCTGGCTGGCGATACCAACCGGCTTGTCGCGGAGTTAACTTTCGTAAGGATCAACGATCTGGCGGCACCTCCGGAGCCTGTACATCCTCTCATGTACATTGAGCCCTTTGTTGCGATACTTATCGTTTTGAACGGCATTCTGATCGGCTTCCAAACGGATCCTGCGTATCAGGACTGGCCAGGGTGGGCATATGTCGACTTGGCATTTCAGAGCTTTTTGCTGCTAGAGATCTTGTTCAGAATGCACTTTCTGAGATGCCGGAAATATTGGTGGGGGCCTGAAAGCTGGTGGAACTGGTTCGATCTCTTTCTTTTCGGGAGTGGATTGGCAGATGTGATTCTACAGTTCGCCGGCGATCAACAGTCAGATATGGCGGCCACATCCTTGCTCAGATTCTGCCGTTTGATTCGTTTGGTTCGCATTGTCAAGGCTAGCGTGCTGCGAAAGTATGTAGGTGTAGGATATGGCAGTTGTGCCAAAATCGTTTGTGGCCAATCAACGGACCAGCAAGGTGTTTCGTATAAAGTTCATGCGCGATCTTCGCTTGATGGTAAAGGGCCTGATTGCCGGCGTGAGGACGCTGGCTTTGGCTTTTGTGCTCTTGTTCGCGGTGTTGTACGTCATCTCGGGCTTCGCAGCGATGACGATCGGGAACAGCGAAGAAGTCGCGAACATTGGGCTCGACGGCTTCTTCTACAACATCCCTGCCTCTATGTACACAGCCTTCAGGTGCTTTACAGGGGAATGCACTACGAACGACGGCGCACCCATCCATTCGCTGTTGGCAGATGTGTTTGGCTTGCCTTTCATAGCCTGCTACGTAGTCAGTTACATGCTGGTGACAATGGGCATCTTCAATCTGATATTGGCCGTGTACGTCGACATAACGATGAAAGCGGCGAAGGAGAACGATGCCGTCACGGCAGAGCAGTACTCACGGGAGTCCATCCGTATCGCCCGAACAACACGCGAGCTGTTGAAGAAGTTCTCCTCGGCTTATCACGTCTTCCATGAAATGGAGGATTCCGTGAAGCACTCTAACACAATAGACTGGATGAAGGCGAGCGTCTTCACTGAGGAGGGGATGGACAAGATAGCCATCACCAAAGAGCTCTTTTTGCTGATCATACAAGACCGTGGGGTGCAGAAGCTGATGGACGATTTGGATCTACCCCCAGACAGGGCTAATCTCTTCGAAATTATTGATGCCGACGGAAGCGGCACCCTTCAAATAACAGAGCTCTTGCATGGCTTGTTAAAGATCCGAGGCGAGATCAACAAAAGCGATGCTGTAGCTACACTTCTGGCAACCCGGTCTGTGCAGACCTTGATCACCGAAATGAAAGCAGACACCAACCGGAAGTTGGACACGCTTCGGTCCGAGTTGGTGGAGCAGCTGACCCGACTGCGCAAGAGCAACATAAATCGGACCCTCGCATCTCCAAAGGCGGAGGAGGAAACGCAGAAACCCGCAGCTCCAGCTGTTTTGGAGCTGAGGCTGCCTTGCAAGCCATCTGCCTGCGAGGAGGATCCGATGATCCCCGTGTGGCCTGCCAGCCCCACCACCAGAAGGAATTACTAGCTACTAGTTCCGGCACCTGTCTTCGTGCAGCCTTTCGATGCAGGTGTTTTGGGAGTACATGTTTGCGTTCTAGCCCATACGCAATGGGGGTCTTAGCTCAGTGGTTTTCAACTCCAGTTTCAACGGATGCATGCACCTCGAAGGACTCGCTCTTGCGCCAGTTTAGGTGCGAGCAATGAAGGCGAGGGGATATTCCGGGCTCTCGCGCAAAGTGCGAACCCGGAACAAACCGCAGAAACCTGGCAAATGTCGTGCAGCAGACTGCGAGACTATATGTAAAAAGCTGTGCCTGCACATGTGCCGCGTCCCTGCCATGGTAATTAGCTAGAGAGTGTTTGAGCCACCACTGACAGGGTATTTGTATGATCTGTATGTATTTCTGAAGATACATTCGAGTCAGGCTGTGTGTTTTTGGGACTCGCGGCCGACGCTTGGTTCACTGGGTTTGTTTGGTTGCAATGACTACCTCCGCTTACCCTCCTTGCAATCTAGACTCAGGTTTGGGCTCATGGCAACTGACTGGGTTGGCTTAGGGTTTAGGGTTTAGATTTTAGGGGTTTCGGGTTTAGGGTTTAGGTTTATTTATCACTTGTTGAGCCTTTGGGACATCCTCCCTGGTCAGATATCTGTACTCGAAACAGTTGGGCTGGCTGCTTGTCCTGAGATGATTGCACCGGGTGGTCAGGCTGGCCGCGCACCACCTGCTGGTATAGCAAGGGTCTCAGACATGTCTCAAGCAAATTCCCACTTACTTTATGGCATTTAGATTGCAGCAGAGAGAGAAAGAGAGCAAGAGAGAGAGAGAGAGAGTGACTGCTTGGCTTTGTGCGTACGGGCGAAGACTTGCAAGTCTCGATATGTGCTGGGCGATTTGGATCAGACCCAATGCGTTCTTAGAGTCTTAGCCATAGGATGACGAAGCATATTCTCGATCGGGATGCCTTTGCGGAGCATCTCGATGCATCGTGGCAGACATTCCGGAGGCAGCTGCTGGATGTGTATCCAAACGGCCCGAGCCTCGAGCCATTACCTCCTATAATTGGCCATACTTTCGAGGAAGTCTTCGAGGCAACACCTGTAGACTTGGATTCGGCAGCTTATGCCGCGGCAATTGATGCAGCCAGGCAGATTTCAGCAGAATCCAAAGCCACAGCGGAAGAGATCGCAGTCCGCACAGGCTCAATCTCACCTTCGATAGACAGCGATATCGTCAGGCAAGGCCATTCTGGCCACCTCCTGCAATCAGGACTTCGAGGACTAAGTGAAGAAGATGCGGCAGCAGTGAAAGATCGTTTGCGCCTTCGTTTGGGAATCCTCTCGCCCAAAGCATTGGTATCCGGCAAGGCACTGCTGGAATGTGTGTCCGCGCTCGGACTAACGCGATACACCGAGGAGGAGATGAATGAGTTCGTCAACATGCTTGGGGACTTCGTCCAACTGGAATTTGTGACGAAGCCGGAGAGGAGGCCAAGCCAAAGCCCCGTCACAATGAACACCATGCTCTTCGGGGCGCAGGAAGTCATGGAGACGGAATCTAAACTGGGAAAGCCTAAGTGGCAATGGCCGGCAGCAACAGCAACTCGAGACCTGCCAACCATGCGCGCCAGCTTAAGCTTGAAGGGTGGGGTCGAGAGGGTTTCCGTCCAGCCTTCACGCCGAGTAGCACACAATGTGATCCCTGCACAGCCTTTACTCGACATTTTCCTGTCACAGGAGACGGAGGTTCACAAGCGGATTTTTGGAGCAAGGGGTCTCAATCAGTACAGGGCCATGAAGGAGATTCTGCTGGCTGGAGACACCAACCGGCTAGTTGCAGAGCTCACATTCGTGCGGATCAATGACCTTGCAGCACCACCAGAGCCGATGCATCCTATCATGTATTTGGAGCCTCTGGTAGCTATTCTGATCATTGGCAACGGTATTATGATTGGCTTCCAGACTGATCCAGGCTACAAGGACTGGAATGGCTGGGTGTATATTGAGATGGCATTTGCCATATGCCGGCGGCCTAGCTTGAGATTCCTTGTTGAGACCGAAAGTACGTAAGTATGCGATGTGGGGAGCCAGGAACAAGGGAGGCTTGAAACAAGGTGTGGCATCAGTACCTTACCGTGCACGGAGCCTGTGATGCAGGCCAATGAGGTGATGCCGCCCTGCAAAAGCGTCAGTATGGTTGTCGTCGTGGTCCGTGGGCTTCCATGTACACCCAGGCAAGACAGGCTTCACATGACTCTTGGGCGGGTTGTAAAGTTTGGCACGGTTTCCAGCAGATGAGGAAAATCGGAAGCGACTCTGACGCATAAATGCTCTGCTGCTCTGCCACCTACGAGGACCAAACATGTCGTACAAGCGGCTTCAGACCAGCCGCTTGTGTTCTCGTTTGTTCGTTCGAGAGCTCTTTTCGACTCCCAGGCCCAGGTCGCTGCCAATTAAATGCTTCCGTGGGTTGCAAAAGCTCGCCCCACTTTGGAGCGAAGGCATTCTCTTGATCAGGCTTACTGACAACTCTGGAAGTTGTGGTGGTCGCGTGCATGCAAGGTGCAGGAGGCATCGTGGCCACTCGTGTTGACGACGCCATCTGCATGTGTGCACACGCATTGCTGCAAGGCTTTAGGAGAAGAAGCTTGCGCCTTCGGAGTACAGACGACGACGACTACTACAATTACTACCGCTGCTGCAGCTGCTCTTGCTTGTGCTGCCGCTCTTACGACTCGTACCACTTCTTCTGCGGCTGCTGCTGTTGCTCTGACTACTATCCATACTGTTCCTGCTGCTGGTACTAGTAGTGCTACGACTGCTGGGGCGTAAAAACTGACTGCTGGTGCTGCTTTTTTCTAGTAAGTGTCTTAAGGGTCTTGTTGTTAGGTAGCGTCTTGCTGAGTCTTGTTATAGATACTAGTAAATCGTGTTTTCCTATCGGCTTGCTGTCAGAAAGTGGTTTGCCGAACTAGACAGGGCTTTCCATTAGATAAATCTTGTTCGAACTAGATAGTATCAGGGTTTTGCTATTAAAACAATTGTTTTCCTGTCGGAGCGTGGGTTTTCTGTCAGACAATGGCTGCCCTCCTAGATTCGGTGTTCCCATCAGTGAATGGTTTTCCTGTTGCACAATGGTGTTCCCGTTAGATGGCATTTTCCTATTGGACTTAGACACTGGTTTGGCATTTACACAGCGGCGAAGTGAGTTCTCCCTTTAAATCGCTTGTTTTGGCTGAGCCCCGGTTAACTTGCAAATCTGTGGTCATGGCAAATCTTGATGAAGATGGGCATTCGACACTTCTTCCGGCAAACAGATCACGCTATCAGAGAAAATCGTAGGCCGAAGGGGTCACGGGAGCAAGCGGGCGGTGGGCAAATGCAGCGAGAAGAGGTTGCTGGCGAGGTCGCCTTTGAAAAGCACCTTCAGCTCGCAAAGAGCTGTGGGACTCTCAGAGTCCGGCGCTCATCCGCGTGTAGTGACCTAGTGCCGTGCACAATCCTGCGCAGCTCTACCCACTCAGTCTGTATGTGCCTTTGATGCCTGATGGACTGCAGGTCTGATTCTCGAAGTGTGCCTGCGAATGTATGTGTTGGGATGCTTTGGATACTGGTGCGGATCTGAACGTCTCTGGAACTGGTTTGACTTATTCCTGATGTGCACGGGCATATCGGACATCGCTATCCAGCTTTTCGACGACCAAGAATCTGGAATGGCGGGCACTTCGCTACTCAGATTCTGCCGCTTAATTCGTCTAGTTCGGATAGTCAAGGCTCCCGACGTGCAAAATCCTGAAGGTTTTCGCAGTTGTTCTGCAGCCAGCCTCCCCTGCCAGGTCTTCCGTATCAAGGTCATGAAAGATCTTCGGCTTATGGTCAAGGGACTGCTGGCAGGCATCCGGACTCTTGCCTTGGCTTTCATCTTACTCTTCGCAGTCTTATATGTGATCTCTGGCTTCGCAACCATGACAATCGGAAGCAGCGACATAACGGTTGATCTCGGGCTGAACCAGTATTTCAACAACATCCCCAACTCTATGTTTACCGCCTTCCGATGTTTCACTGGAGAGTGTGTAAGCGACGACGGGAGGCCTATCCACTCATTGCTTGCGTCGAGGTTTGGGGTGCTTTTTAAGGCAGGGTATGTTGCCAGCTACATGCTCGTGACGATGGGGATTTTCAATGTGATCTTGGCGGTTTATGTTGACATAACGATGAAAGCGGCGAAAGAGAACGATGCAGTCACTGCCGAGCAGTACTCACGTGAATCAATCCGAGTTGCCCGGACGACGCGGGAGCTCCTGAAAAAGTTTGCCGCAGCATATCACTCATTTCATGAACCCCATCGGAACCACCATCATGGTTCACCGAACGACGAGCATGATCCGGAGGCAAAGGTCAATACCTCCTCTGCCAGAGCCATGTATGCAGAGGACGGCATGCACGACAAGATCGCAATCACCAAAGACCTTTTCCTTTTGATCGTGCAGGACCGTGGGGTGCAGAAGCTCATGGATGACCTAGATCTGCCTCACGATCGCGCTAACCTCTTCGAGATCATCGATGCCGATGGAAGTGGAACGCTTCAAATCACAGAGCTTCTGCAAGGCCTCTTAAAAATCCGTGGCGAGATCAGCAAGAGTGATACGGTGGCCTCCCTGTTGGCGACCAAAGCTGTCTTCAGTATGCTAAGCGAATTGAAAGAGGAGCAGCTCAAAGAGTTGAAATCGCTCAGGGCGGAGTTCGCCGGGTGTCTCGCTAGCTTGTGGAAGCCGAAGCAGCTACCGGTGGCACCGGAACTCATAAACACCGCATCTTCCCTCGCGAAGCTCGACAGCCCCAGCCCTGCCCTCGGTCTGGATCAGGTTGGGATGCCATCGAAGCCCGAGGCTTGCATTGAAGATGTCGAAACCGCGCCGCCCTTTGCGTGAAAATCTGGAGACGGATTCTGAACCATTACGGCTTGCTACCTTAGCTCTAGTGTGCAAGGCCTACCCTGATCACTGTAAGTCTGTGTAGCAGAGTGAAGAAGTGTTGCCTTCTACTGCGGGTTTGCTTTCGCTGACCATCGAAGACGGTGCTGCAATTTCACTGCCGAGTGCAGTGCCCCACCCCTTCATAGCAGCACGGGCTCTTTCGCAAAACAGAGCCACTAAGACACTAAGATGTGTCCGCCTAACTATTCCATTCTCCGACGGATCGACTGCAAAAAGTCAGCGATCAGCTGCAGACACTGTGCAGCCTATGCGCCTAGTTGTCTACTAGTGTTTCACCTGAAAGTCGTTGCTGCTGCGAGTTCTTACCTGCACAGGAAAAAAGTTGCCATGCATCGTTCTGCCTTCCTCTGCTGTCATGCACGCATGTGCCCGCAGTGACATTTGGGGTGAGGCAGATGGTTCCTGGAAGCTGAGTGCAGAAGTTGTCAACGGTAGCTGGATTGCCCATGGCTGTCATTGTCGCCACCAATTGACGAGTCATGTCGCAAAAGATTTCCTAGCACACTCCTGTGTAATGCAACTATGTCGCAAGGAAACCTGACAGTGCCAATGCGTGCACGTTTTTTTCCATCGAGCCGATGTGCGATCCAGCTCGGATTGGAAACAGTCTGTAATGAGCCATGAGCCTGTGACATGTTCTGTGCGGAATGCTATTCGCAGACTGACTTCACATAAGCAACAGCCGGATTTCATGACGCATATTGATTTGCCCGTGCTTTCTGGAAGCTGAAGCTACGCATGTTCCCTGCTCCACCCGGTTCTGGTAACTGACAGCATCATGCAAAGCTGCTTCCGAAGTTGGGACTTTGGTCTGGATTCTTGCTGCTTCCTCTCAAGAGCGGGGGTGTAGGTGCTACCAGGTCCTCACTCGTCAGCCCCCGAAGCCTGCGGGAGCTCTCAGGCAAGGTTGCAGGGGCTGCGGCTGCAAGATCCGATGCGAGGAGAAGCAGTCTCGAAGCTGAGGCAAAGCTACATGTTAGGACTCCTGTCTTGGGTGTGCATGTGTGTGGATCCGTGATTCGAGCTTTCTCGTGTCATGTTAGTAGCTCCGAACCGGAACACTGCAGCTTTTTCGGCTTTGGAGCATGAAGCCTGGCGAGAACAAGGAGGACCGTCAGTCGTGTGTTTTCAGTCCTTTGTCGTGATGGGTTCAAAGCTGAGGATGCCGGATGCATGCGCCCTGTGACGGGTCGCAGTAGTCACAGTATGCATCTGGCGAGACTTTGTGCATGTAGCATGGTTAGCAGGGAAGTTTTTTCCAGCCACTGCTCACTGGGGCGTGATTGCCGCAGCCGGTCAAGAACGCACGGGGAAGGGGCAGGGCATGTCTGAGCCATGGACAGGGACCGATTTGCCGCACTTCTCGATTCATCGCTGCAGGATTTCAGAGATCAGCTGCTGGATGCCTATGCAGGGAGAGGTGCAGGTGAGAACACACCAATCACACCCGCGAGTGTGAAGCAGAAGGCAGACACTGACATCGACGAGGATGCCGACAGTCCGTTGGAAATCGCTGCATGGAAAAAGGTCGAGCATGTGCTTTCGTCAAAGGAAAGAGGTATCTCATGCCAAACAGACCAGACAGATCTGTCTGTTGGCAGGAACTCTTCCCTGACACCCTCCGAGGAAGGCATCGAAGGTCCCAAAATCTTCCACGGCAGGTCCTCGCAGTATTTGCGTTCCGGATTGCTTGGGGTGAAGGCAGAGGAAGCTATGGCGATTCGTCATCGGCTGCGTGTTCGCTTAGGACGGCCCGGGTTTGTCTTGTCGTTGTTTTCTCGGGGTCTTCTTTTTTTGATATGGGGTTCAAAATGGGGCGGAGGCCTTTTAGGAGGTTTTTTAGTGTTTTGTTCTTAGGAGCCCTTTCCTCGAAGACCTTGGTCTCCGGAAAGTCTCTGCTCGAGGCAGTGACGTCTTTGGGCTTGACAAGGTACACGGAGCAGGACATGAACGATCTGGTGAATGCCCTGGCAGACTTTATCAGTCTTTCCTTTGAGCAGGAGATGACACCGGAGAACGACGATCTACAAAAAATGGAAGACTTGGAACTCTTCTTCTTCCACAAGCGGGATTCTCGGGCATACGGCCACCCGGTATGGCAGTGGCCTGAGAAGACGGACGCGGCCATGGGTGCATCGGCCATGCGTCGAAGCGTCACCGGGCACATGAATAACTGGGCGGAGGTGGTGCCCCGAAGCAGTTTCAACGTCGTGCCGGCCCAAGCCATCATGGAGATTTTCCTCTCGCAGGAGGCAGATGTTCACAAAAGAATGTTTGGGCCCAGACTTCTGAACCAGTTCAGGGCCATGAAGGAGATCCTCCTGGCTGGGGATACGAACAGGCTTGTTGCAGAGTTGACTTTCGTGCGAATTAATGATCTCGCAGCTCCACCAGAGCCGGTCCATCCACTCATGTACATTGAGCCGCTGGTGGCCATTCTCATCGTCGGCAACGGCATAATGATTGGTTTGCAGACCGAGCCTGGTTTTGACGAGTGGCCGGGTTGGACCTATGTCGAGCTTGTTTTTGCAGCTTTCTTGCTGTTGGAAATCGCTTTGCGCATGCACCTTCTGCGTTGTCGGAATTACTGGTGCGGCACTGAGCGTTGGTGGAACTGGTTCGATCTGTTCCTTGCTGCCACCGGAATCTTAGATATCTCTGTCCAGATGGTTGGAGAAGAAGATTCGGCTTTTGCAGGAGCATCGCTGTTGCGATTCTGCCGGCTGATTCGCTTAGTTCGTATCGTCAAGGTCACCGGGCTTGAAAGATAGTTGTGAGATGTTGTGAGGTTATAGCTAGGGCGCAAGACTGGCACTGCACCAGCGGCTGGCTACGTTAACGGCTCTTTAAGGGTGTGCTCGAGTCAGCACGTGCATACCGCTCTACCTGGCCAGGTCTTCCGCATCAAGTTCATGAAGGACTTGCGCCTGATGGTGAAAGGCCTTATTGCGGGGATCCGAACTCTAACATTGGCCTTCCTCTTGCTCTTCGCCGTGTTGTATGTCATCTCTGGTTTCGCTACTATGACACTAGGCAGCGACACCAGGACCAAAGAGCTGGGACTGGAGGAATACTTCTACAATATTCCTGCGGCCATGTTCACAGCCTTCCGGTGCTTTAACGGGGAGTGCGTGAACAGACGAGGGGAACCAATAAACTTCTTGCTCGCGGATGCGTTTGGATTGCCGTTCAGAGCTCGGTTGTGAACATGTCGGGGCATGCAGCACATGGCATAACCATCAATCTGCGACCCATAGAACAGTGCAGGTTCATTATTTTCTATGTTGTCAGCTACATGCTCGTGACGATGGGGATATTCAATGTGATCTTGGCGGTTTATGTTGATATAACCATGAAGGCTGCGAAAGAGAACGATGCCGTCACTGCTGAACAGCATGCCAGGGAGTCCATTCGTGTAGCCCGAACTACGCGTGAGTTGCTGAAGAAATTTGCTGGAGCCTACCATGTATTCAACGAGGAGGACGGCAAGAACAAGCTGGACAAGTTGCCTTCCCACATGCTCTTCACGGAGGAAGGGTTGCAGGACAAGGTTGAGATCACAAAGGAGCTCTTCCTACTCGTCATTCAAGATCGAGGTGTGCAGAAACTCATGGATGACCTTGATCTGCCACCAGATCGCGCCAACCTCTTCGAGATTATCGATGCAGATGGAAGTGGCACGCTTCAAATCACAGAGCTTCTGCAGGGTCTCTTGAAAATCCGAGGCGAAATCAACAAGAGCGATACGGTGGCTTCTCTCTTGGCCACAAAAGCCTTGCAAAGCATGATTGGCGAGCTCAAGGACGAGAGCCTGCGGCACTTCGAAGAGTTTCACCACGAGCTGCAGCAGCAGTTTGCGGAGTTTTGCCAGCATATGACGAAGTCGATCTCAAAAGTCAAATTTCGCAGCAGGAGAAATCGGCCGAAAGACTTAAACACCTTGGCCGCGCCCCTCCGGCCCGATGATTTGCCTCCAGAGATTGAGATGGAGCCACCTTAAAAGACAGTACATCGAGTTTTTAATGGATTTTGAAGAGTTTCACCCGTTTGAACATACATTCACACTTCCGCGAAAGCCATTTGGCGAACGCCATTTGCGTGCACATGGTGGCATGAGGCTTTGTGTAGCTAAGCTGCGGTAGTGCCATACGGCCCTGCAAAATGCAGGTGGCACGCTGAAATGCAAACGATGCCTCCCGATACATTCTGCTTTGTACTGCTGTTCCTTGACGATCAATTGTCGGTTGGATCCCAAGCGCAAATGTCCATCGGGGAGCTTGGCAACCTCGCAGAACAAACTGCGAGACTGCATGCGCCGAAACATGCCTCTGTGCTTGACGATGCGGCCAGATACCAGAAAATGGCGCCTGCTAGCATTGCTGGCCACTCAATCTGTCCTCACATGTCCAACCGCAGCTAGCACAGGATTCAGCCTGTCGTTCAGCACTCTTTCCACAGTCGCTGTGTGCGATTATCATGAGCTCAGGTCTGACAGAGATCAGGTTAATGCAGGCGACACTAGCCGTCGCTAGCCTGCTAGAAGCACAGCTGCACCCCGACCAAGAAGCCTTCCAAGCCCACGCCAATCGTTCTACGTGTGCGCAAGATGGCAGTGTGTCATCATGTGTACGGAATGTGCATTTAGGCATAGAGTACGGAGACTCAGTTTGCAGAGAGCCCTATAGAAGCCTTAAGCCTCAAAGAACGGCTCACCAAAAAAGCACCCACAAGCCTGCAGGATGAGCTACGAGCGGCGAATGCCAAGATGGGACCCCGCGAGAGCGCGAGCAGCTCTGGTCAGCGGGATCTCTTTCAGGTGCACTCGGTGAATTGTGAGCTTTTAAGGGGCTTCGGGTTTGGGGTTTTAGGGGGGGTGAATAGCCCTCAGTTTTCTCTCCTTGCAGGGGTACCCGGCAGTTGCAATAGGCCTGGATGCAAAATGGGGGGTGAATAGGGTCTCCTTACAGTTGCTTGGACGGGTTTTTGGGTCGTTGTCCTTTCCATCCCTGTGTTCACTCCTTGAAGTTGAAATTGCCTTAAGGACGAAGGGGAAGAAAACGAAAAGGCAGGCCAACAGGTACTGTAGCTAAGGAGTATGCGGAGGATGCATTTAGTCCTATAGGGGAGACAGGGCAGAACTTACGATAGCAAGGCTTGCAGCTGAAGCTGAGCATACTTGGCATGTAGACTGCATGCCATGTCGAAAGACAGAACGTGCAACACGAATCAGCTGTATGCCACCAGTAGACTATCGAAGTCATATTCCCAAGCAAGCCGGACGGATGCCCAAGCACGGCAAGCAAAAGGTTGACAAGGCTGCGAAAACGTCAAACAGGATGCAGGCCAAGGCAGACAACCTACCAAAGTAAAGGCAAGCATCAGACGAAGCAATGGTACGAGGAAAAAGCAGGGCGTTTTGTCGTCTGTTTCATTCTCCAATAGAGTCAGCCAATGAGAGGGTAATCGGCTTGGAGCGCCGACCGTGACTCCGAGCGGACAACATAGAGATAGGAGAGGAGGAGGATATAGTAGGTCGGCAGGAGTAGTAGGAGTAGGAGTAGT